GGGGGGGGGACTTACTGATGCCTGTTGTTTCTTCAGCTTGTCTCTGTACTCCTCCAGCTCCTGCAGGTTTAGCTCAGGGGGCAGTTTCTATAAATCATACACAAATACACAAACATACAACCTTATTGTGTGTTCAGAATACCTCTTCCTACACAGTTGAAAGAACCCGAGGCCTTTGCAAAAACGTCCAAATGTCTATCATTTTCATTGAGTTAAAGTGTCAGACAGAGAATATTCACACTCGGAGCCATAGCAGGGATTTTCTTTACCCTGAGAGGGTTTATCCTCAATTCTAAGCATCTTAATTTTCAAAGATATCTCCCTACCTTTAAAAAAAAAAAAAGCTTAGCTGATTTCACTGAGGATTGCATAGCTCTTCCATTAAAGAAAAATAACAAAAGATTTTGCTGCACCTAACAGTCAGTGCCAGATCATGATTAAGATTAGTTAGAGGATGTTATTCAGTAAACAGCAAACCAACTCTGCTAAGGGAAGAAGATATTACAAATCCACGGGCCAGAGGATGATAGGTAATTACTTTCCCCTTGACTGAGAGTCTCATTTCAGATGGAGTAGCAATACAAAGATAAATCTAATGAGATTTCACACCCTCTCTCTGTCGAGCGGATGCAATCCATCAATCCGCACGTCATCGGTGCGCATGCGGCTCGGCGGAAGGGTAAGAAACATCAGGTGAATGGAGCTTTAACTGTGCCAGTCAGACATGCATCAAAGCGCACGGGACGATAGTCATTCATATTACAAATGCAATATTGGTTATCTGAATAACTTTAATGGGGTTGGTTGTATGGAGTCATTATTATTTTATGGAGGGAGGCGTGGGAAATTGGGAGTGGGGCTTATTCGGTCAATAACGGACGTGCTCTCTGGTTCGTACAAAGAATGTCTGACCTCCAGTTCGTGCTGCACCATGTCGAAGGAGTCGTTTGAGTAGTACAGCTCCTCGATGCTGTCGATCATCTCCTGCTCCGCCTGGGGGTCGATGGGCTGCTCCCTCACCTCCCGCAACTCCTCCTGACAGGGGGGGACAAATAGAGAGATGATTAAAAGCTGTCCTTGAAGTAAGCACTTTAAAAAGATCCAGACACACTGGGACACAAACAGAAAAGCGTCCAAAGAACAGAGATCTAAATCATCTTGTAAGTGATGAAAACAAACAAAAACAAAGTCTCTGATAAGACATTAACATAAATAACATCAAAACACAGTTATGCAAGGGGGGAATGCCATGGGAAAGAACAATAAAAGGAATGGAGATAGGATTAAAGGAAAAGGAGGTACAGAGGAGTTTAAGGACACGGGCAAGGGTGAAGGAAGGCAGAATAAAAATGAGGTAAAGAACAAGGAGAGGGAAAGAGGAAATGTGTAGTGGGAAAAAAGAAAAGTGGTAATCGCATAGTTTCGGATTGCAGCTTGTTTCGTTTAAAGCTGTCATGGGGGTTGGAAGGAAGCCTTGAGAGAAAAGACAAGAAGAAAGGAATGACAGAAACATACAACGGGGATTCCCCTTCAGAGCATCTCTGGGAGACATCAGAGCCTCAGTGATTAACATGATGTGCATCCGCCGAGGCTTATAACTGCAGCGAGTCTTTTCGATGAAGGTTTTTAAGTCGGCATTCCCAAGGAGCCCAGATCTATATAGAAATGTTATTTATTGGGATAAACCCCTTGAGATGCACCATCTCGTTTTCAAGGGGGTCCCGATAACAAGTCAAGTCACGGGTGGATAACAAAAGTGGTGGAATGGCCGTGTTAGCACAATGGGAAAAATAGAAATGTCCCAAGTCGCTACATATTTACTATGCCCTGTATTTAACCTTTAACCTTATTTGAATGTCCGAAATGGTGTGACATCTTTTTGCTTTCTAAGTAAATCCAAACAATGGAATAAACAATGAAGGCAGTGCATTATATTTTAATAAATACAGAAATTACCAAATATTAAGTAAGTAATGGGGAATGTAATTAGGATTCAGGGATTATAAATAAATGTGGCAAAATATCTATAAATTGCTAAAAATATTTCAGTCTCCAACCAACCAACCAAGCAGCAATGCCATCTACACATTAGTGTTGCTAGCATAGCTACAAATATTACAAATATCTTAGTATTATATTAAATCCAACATAAAGAGAACATCTCATCATATGGGGGTTCACTTAGCGCCTTGAGTAGAAATCCTTTATTTCCAACAGAACATCAAAGCACAATAGCACTAAAAATAGATTGTTGGCTTGGGAAGGAGGTGAACCAGGATGGATGTGGAATTAAAGGATTAATGCTATATATATAGAGATATATAGAAATCACTATCAAAGTTCTGCACAAATCATCTCATTTGGACTTCATGAGATATCAGTCATTGTCCAAAAAAACCTTGTTCACAGCTGCCTAGCCACACATATTTTCCCCATCTACTATCAGCGAGAAGCGTGCAGCTAGGCGATGAAGTGTGCCACCATGTAACTGAATCTCTCTCTGTGGGTGAGAGTGTGTCTGGCTGAGAGACATTTATATGAGGTCGCTGCTGTGAGTCAATTTAACGTTCGCACTACGCTGTAAAATATAGACCGATATCAATCAATTACACAAACAAAATCCCTTTTATATACATTTTATACAAGGCAATAGGGTGTGTGTGTGTGTGTGTGTGTGTGTGTGTGTGTGTGTGTGTGTGTGTGTGTGTGTGTGTGTGTGTGTGTGTGTGTGTGTGTGTGTGTGTGTGTGTTGCCACGTTTGAATCAGGTAAAGGAGTGAGCTAAAGCCCCGGGGGAAATGTGTGGATGAGTGTGTGAGATTGGAAAGGAGGGGTAGAGGTAGGAGATCACGCTCTGCCATCAGAAGGGTGGGTGGGGAATCAGCTCAAATGAGAAGGAAGGCAGAGCGGGGATGGGGGATGGGGGGTGGGGATGAGCTGGATGACTCATTGGTAGAGAAAGTTAGAGGAAAAGAAAAAGAGAGAGGAACGAGTGAAACAAAGGACAATGATGTGAAGCCTCTCCAGTGTGGTTAGAGCAATTCACCTCCCCTGTGCCAGGCTTTACTCAAGTCTCCCACCTGCAGAGACGTGCAAAACTCCACACAACTTAAAGTGAATGACTCCTTGAGACGCTACCTCAGGTTAAATAATCCCCTTTCCTCACCTGGAGCTGCGTGGGGAGGAAACTAAACAGACGCCCCTGTACCCCCCCATGTGAAACCCAACATCAGCTGCTGTGAGGCTTTGATCAAATTTCACTTTGAAGGATGAGGGACAAACAAATCACCCTCCGACCTCCTCCACAGATTAATGAAACTCTCGTCTCGTTGCAGGAAATTAGAAATCTATTTGCATGCAAACGTGCGGGAGGTTTAACAAGCGTTATCAAATATGATTGAATGTGGAAAATCAAGCAAAACAAAAAGGTGCTCAACAACAAAGGGCCTGTTGAAATAATAAACAAAAGGTGGACACTAGAGAAAAGAACGAGGGGTGACGAGACTGAGCGCGGGGCTAATTAGTTCCACTAAGATATCATTTATTAGATGAACAAATCAAAACCTCCTTATTGTTATCAGCGCTGGCTGTATATCCCTATCTGATTAACTCAGTTGTCATGCAGTTGTTTTGTTACCTGAGGACCTAGGAGGCACAATTAGACAAAAACTCAAACCTGATTGGGTCATTTGAGGGCATGAGAAGTGTCATAGTGTTCCCCCTAACGATAGCCTGTGTGAACTAATAACAGGTTATCAAATACGCCCTCCTCAAAGCATCCACTCATCTTCAGTTAAATATTTATTGCACACTGGAGGCACTCAGCCAATCATATTCATCCTAAAATAGAAGGAATCACGACGACTATTCTAAGCAGGCGATGCACTCAACCTGTGTAGATTAGTGATGTGTTTTATAAACTGATGGTGACCCCTGCTGGTGGGAAATGGTAACTGCATGTACCTCCAGGGCTAAGAGTTTTCTAGATTAGATGGACGAACTACAGTTTGCCTCGAAAAACAATTTTAAGCTTCACAAATACATTATGTACCAGCTTGTTCTGGAGATTCACTAAACCTGTATCACACTTCTCAACCCTATTAGAGTACACTTGAAAGTAGAAATATTAGGAATATGTTGAAATTATTGTTGATTCGAGAAATGCCTGAACATACATTATGAGATAAAAATAGAGACGGATAGGTTGGAAAAGGTTACGAGACTCAGCACACCAAAATACCTGCAAAGAAAATCCTTATAACTGACTCGCAGAGAGACAGCCGCTTTGAAAAAAATAAGGATAAGAGAGAAGAAAGATATGTGTTTGTTTTAGTCAACCCACAAAGCAGCTTACATCAGGAACCGAGAGACATCAAAAGCATGAAGGTGATCAAAATAGCTTGGAGTCATTTGGAGTGGTAAGGGAAATCAAAATCTGCCAATGTTGTGATTTATAAAAAGGGGTTATTTGGAGAACATGAACCGACACAAATGACTTTTTATTTAGCTTTACTTTCTCTAATGGCGTATATATACTCAACATCAATATGGTTGAGATTATATCACATTCAATCTCGGCCCGATGGGCTTTTTATTGTGACTTTTTTCAAGTTTAGGTAATTAACATGTTTAGTGACAACACAGTGAACAAAGGGGATCAGATTTATTTGAGAGAATGGTTTCCCCTCAGGGTAAACTGCAGAGCCTTACATCTGTGTATGGAGCCAAATCAAATGCTTCACCCCGGCAGCTATGCGTGAATGCATGGCATTACAAAAAAAACACATTAGACATTTGTACCAGTCTTCTAAAATGAATCAAATTCTGTAATCCCCTCAAGAGGGAAAACAATACAATTAATTCAGAAAAAGGCCTGTCGAAGATGACAGATGTTTTCGCGAAGCAGCAGAAACTAAACCACTTTAACAGATGCACGAACGGAAACTGAGTGCCATGAAATGATGTAATATATCTGTGATAAATTAAACGTACAGAAATATACCAGGAAGGAAAGCTTGGGGTAATGATTCTGGCGCTCAATGGAGAATCCCATTTGTAATTGTGTCATGCAGCATCGAAGATTAGACATCGAATAGGACTGGTACCAAACCCATGACGTTAACTCTATTAAACACTGTACTCTATTATTTCGGGTGGAAGGTTATTAGTACCCTGGCAAAATGTGCAGGGGTACAATTCCCATTGGAACCTGCTGTACACCCTTTCCCTTGATACAGCGCACGCACATTTCATCTGGTCGACATGACGACAGCTGAGAAAAGCGTTGGAAACTTCCTGATAATATTTCAAGCATTTCTGGTTTCAGAGCATTTAGGACATTCCCTCATAATCAGCAAGAGTACAAAGAAATGCAAAAAAAGACACAATGAGGACTTCTGTCTAACTTTCAAGACCTATTACCTAAATAAAAACATCTGTCTGAGTAAGCATTGGTTTGTGGAGGGGAAACTGGTGGATAGGGGGTAACTGGGTTAGATAATCAAAATGTTATTGGCCACCTGTTTGATTGTGCTGCGATAGAAACAGGTGCAATGTATCATGTGATTGCAACTGAGCAAAAATGAGTCGCCACTTCCTGTTAAAGATAACATTAAACCAAATTAGGTACAGAATCTGTGGTCAAGACACCATTAGAGCAGAAATGATTCATCTTTTAACTGATTAGCCACCTGACTTGATACATCCGTATGTCAGTGCGATGTGAATTGAAGATCGTAAATGTAGAACTACAGGCTAACTACAGGTCGTTTTTTCCCTGCGTATCACTCAAACGCCATCCACCCTTCCAAGTCATTTCTAAATAATGATATGACAGCATCAATTCTCCATCATCCCCCGCGTCAATCCTCCCCCCTACAGTGAGCCAGATGTTGCTGTCAGCTCCAGTAGGATGATAAACGACGTGAATCATGGCTAATATGGTTGGAAACACACGACTGGCACTGAGCAGTAAGTACCAGATTGAGTTTAATAATGACACACACACACACACACACACACACACACACACACACACACACACACACACACACACACACACACACACACACACACACACACACGCACCTTGGCTTCACTCTCCTACACAGAGCAGTGTGTTAAGTAATGCAGTGTTCCACGGCCATGGCATATTGAGAGGATTATTCACCTTTAATCAAAAAGGGTGATAGGTTTCAGTGTATACAAAGCCTGTGTTTGGCTCCTATTTCATTTTCCTGAAAGCTGGCGCCCTGGAGCAAAGTAAATAAAGACAGGGCATAATACCGTGAAATAATAAGACCCGTGTTTTGGCTGAACACACAAAAAGCAGGTGTTTGCAGTACACACAGGGGACTTAATTCATCTGTGGTATACACAGGCTGAGGTGCATATAATCCTCAATCTCCCCCCTATTATGCTGTCTACTACCTCATATTGCATAAGCCAAACAGAACAGGTATGATAAGATTAACAGTAATTCTGCGGGGGGCTATGATGCCAGCATGAACAAAGGTGAATATTTTAGGCCTAAAACCAGGGTGTTTGATGTCTGCAAATCCAGTTTTGGCCACATCACCTGAAGCCAATCTCAAAGCCGGGGGGCGACATGCATCCAATGAAAAGAAAGGAATTCTTTGCTTTCCCTCAGGCTCTGATTACACCTGGAGAATAAATGACTGCTTATCTTATCTTGATCAAGTGTGGTTTCCTGCAATAAAAGCTTTGTAATAACTTTGGCTGTGAATGAATGATCTTTTAATCTGCCCATNCATAAGTCAAACAGAACAGGTATGATAAGATTAACAGTAATTCTGCGGGGGGCTATGATGCCAGCATGAACAAAGGTGAATATTTTAGGCCTAAAACCAGGGTGTTTGATGTCTGCAAATCCAGTTTGGCCACATCACCTGAAGCCAATCTCAAAGCCGGGGGGCGACATGCATCCAATGAAAAGAAAGGAATTCTTAATAATAATAATAATAATAACTTTTATTTATATAGCGCTTTTCAATAACCCAAAGTCGCTTACAAAAACAATTAAAAGTACAGAAAGGGGGTGAACAGGCAGAAGACAACATATTGGACAAGAAAATTGAACATGAACATTACATGAACAGGCAAAGGACAACACAGGGGGGGAGCAAGCATAGGACAACGAGCAAAAGACAACATAATGGAAAAGAGGAAAGAAAAAGTTGATTAATGTATGAATAAGAGATGCAGCGTGGGGTGAATAAGAGATACAGCGTGGGGTGTGAGTGAAGTTCTTTGCTTCTTTGATACAGCGTGGGGTGTGAGTGAAGTTCTTTGCTTTCCCTCAGGCTCTGATTACACCTGGAGAATAAATGACTGCTTATCTTATCTTGATCAAGTGTGGTTTCCTGCAATAAAAGCTTTGTAACAACTTTGGCTGTGAATGAATGATCTTTTAATCTGCCCATTATTTTCTAGAGTAATACATTAGTGATAACATGTCAGAAATTAGTAAAGAATGTCCATCCTAGTTTTTCAAACACCAAGATGATGTGTATACTGTCCAAAAGTAAGTCCAAAACGCAAATATATTCACCCAAATATATATGTTATAAACACTGAAAAACATGAAATCTTCATATTTAGAGGCTTGCGTTAATGATTAATCAATTAACAAAGAAATTGCTGATTTTGTTCCTGCAGATCGACAAATTATTGGAATATTTAACAACAATACTATTTACAAATTTCATATTGTCTACACCAACAAGATCAAATGAATTGACTGTCTGGCAGTGGCTCAGTCAGTAGGGGCTAGGACTGTGAGCCGTAGTGCCGCCGGTTCAAGTCCCCGACCAGACCTTAAATATGGAGTGTGGACTGCTACTTGGAGAGGTCCCAGTTCACCTCCTGCCCTGCCGTGGTGCCCTTGAGCAAGGCACCGGACATCCCCCTTCCCCCTCACTCCCATTGCTCCCCAGGCGCTGTACAATAGCTGCCCACTGCTCCTAGTACTAGACTCCTGGTGTTAGGATGGGTTAAAAGCAGAGAACAAATTTCCCTGTGTGTGCTGTGTGCTCTGCATGTGTGACCATTAAAGAGGGTTTCATCCCTCCCAATTCTATATATCTATCTATATTGACTGTTTATTTGGACAAAAACACTCAGCACAAGCCCTATCTTTGACCAAAATAAAGATTGTCGTGTTAAAGCCTTTAACAATAGACTGCCCTGCCTTTTCCTTTCCTCGTGAAAATACTTTACAACAAATTGAAAAGGAATTTCTCTGAACTCGTTCAGCTTCTTCTTTCGCAACTCTCATAGATGAATTACCAGAAAAGCACTTCCTTTTCAGCCTAAAAAGAACATTCTATAATGGCACATCAGCAAAGCACACCACGAAGAAAGTTCCAATCACGTTAGGACCAAACCACAACCACAATCAAACTATGTCAACCTTTAAAAGCCAAGTCTTTAGAAGGAGAGAAATTAAACGTCTGGTTGAATTGACCTAGCGCATATCGCCCAGCACTGTGAATAAATAGAGTTGGTCACCTTCCAAATTGTACTCAGCCACATTAACCCAAGGTCATCACTAGTCAAAAGCAAACAAGTCAAAGCAAAGCCAACAACAAGCAGCAGTGCATTGAGGAGTAAGTGACTCTACATTGTATAGAGCCACTCTGCAGGTTCACTCTGTCTCATCTTGGCAAATTGAATCTGTACAAGTGGATAATGAGAAATGCTTTCTACATCTAAGCATGACTGATTGCATTTTAAAACACTTGCCATGCCAAAATGCTAAAACACTATTGGAGCAGAACATATTTCACACTACTAGTGTAAAGATTGATGTGAAGTGTGTACTAAAGTGATATAAATGGGAGCCATCATTCTCTTTACATTACTGTCTGGAAAACCCTTTAAGTGTGATGTAACTCATTTGCAGGAAGCAGCTCCGTGTAAATACAGTGCAAGTGTGGTCCAAGTCTAAAGCTGTCCTGAAACATCCAATCCTGTTGTATTACTACGATCCATATAACTGCTTCTGTGTTAGATGGACTTGGCTTCTATAAATAATATACTTAGTCAAGTTAACCAATATAGTAACTTCATACACACAGATGACAGTAAAACCTTTTTTTAAATAAGCAGATTTTGTTGATTTTCACAGACAGACAGACGGACAGACGGACAGACAGACGGACAGATTGACAGACGGACAGACAGACGGACAGACAGACAGACAGACGGACGGACAGACGGACAGACAGACAGACGGACGGACAGACAGACGGACAGACGGACAGACGGACGGACGAGACAGACAGACAGACAGACAGACAGACAGACGGACGGACGGACAGACAGACAGACAGACAGACAGACAGACAGACAGACAGACAGACAGACAGACAGACAGACGGACAGATAGAGGTCTGGGACAATATTAATTTTGGATTAATTATCATCATTCAATGGAACTAATCGTGATGAAATCATGAATAGAAATATGTGATAAACATTTATGTTGTTTAATCCATAATAGCGAGGGCATACATGGGGCATAACAATGTATCAGAAAATCTGATGTAAATTATTCTGAAGCAATATTATTTGAAGACTGCATTTGTGTTTTTCCAACAGATCTTACATTTCTCTATAATTTTACATGAACTTTAATGTTTAAAGATTCGTAATAAAATTAGAATTTGTCAAGCATTTAGGTAAAATTGTTTCATATCTGTTTATTTTATATAGACTTCTGATTTGTTGACCTGCCAGTAAGGATAATATATCATAGTAAATATTGCAATATCCAGATGTTAAATTACCTTTATCATGACAGAAGATGTTGGCCTTGTTATCAACCCTGGATATAGCACATCTGTCACACACTATCTATCTACTAACAGCGATCTACTAAACACTTGAACATATCCTTACTTGGGGCCAATATTTCTTAGGATGACAGATGTTACATTAAATAGATGTTAAGATTTTGCTGATTTGTACTGTGTATTGAAACAAATAAAGGAGCAGCAGCATATGTTCCAGTTGTCAACAAAACAGAAACAGCTCAACTACAAAGTGAATGTTTATGTGCAGCTCAAATGCATCGACCACAACAACAAAAAGAGAGCTACAGTTTCAGGCATATCATGAGGTTTACCTTGCTGGGGATCCTCAGGTTCTCCACAGGACTGAGGTCTGCCATGCTTTCCTGGGGACTTTTCAGGCCCTGTCAAAGTAAGAGTCACAGTTAGGGTTCAAACAGCTCTAAAAAGTCAAGTACAATGTACAGTTTAATGCTTCCTGTTGTCCCATAACGTACTATTCATAATCACAATACTGCACACAGCAAAATGTGGAACCAGTGTGCAGATTTCTGAAACCGATATGCTGTGTTTTGTAGTGCTGAACAAACGAGTCTAACATTACTGCAGTGCAAATTGAGAACTTCCCTAACCGCCCAGTTTCCACTGTTGTGCCCTCTTGCAGTGCATTTCTAATAGTAAAATCTAGGGTATAACTACCAATACGCCTCTATGTTCTCCATGTAGGGTAAATAATTCGTATATGTTGTGTAGCGGTTAAAAAAGCTGCTGTTATTCGGGCTGAATGTGCCCTTTCTTGAGCCACAAGCTGAGCTGTCAAATTAGCCAGTTAGCTTCGCTAGCTGTCATGCTAGCTACCTGCAGCTGTCAGAGACTAACCGCCAGCGGCTCGGCTTCCGTACACCTGCTTTGCTTACCTGTCGGGCCATGAGAGACTTGATCTTCTGCATCGTAAGTCCAACTTGTGTCAGGGGGGGAAATAAATGTGTAAAGTTACAGTTTTGTTTTGTTGTCAACGATGCGCCTCCATCACTACGAGAGAGAAGCCATAGTTGACTGTCACGTGACTGGTATAGCAGGAAACGGAAGATTACAAAGCATGCTGGGAAATGTAGTTTTCACATCAGGAGGTGTGTAGTTACCTAAACTCAACGCCGTATGCCTAAACTGTCAGAATATCACCTGTGTGTGTTTGATTCATTGAACATATGTGTTGTTCTGAAGGAAAACAATATTCAAAAGTGATTGAATATTTTTTTGAATACATTTATACATGATATATGGTACATGTACTGCTGCCTTATACCACTGGATGGTAGTAACTTAACAGTGAAGAATAGTAGACTGTACTGGACAGCAATGTTTATTTTTTCTTCCCTGAAAAATCTAATTTGACTTCTCTCTCTTTCAGTCACCTGTAGGTTTCAGGTGAAGGTTTTGACATGCAAGAGAAGACATAACACCAGTGTACACATTCAAATGAATGTCTGTGGGTACTGGTATGGTGCATGCCGAGAACTATTTTACATGTAAGTTATTGATTAAGACTGACATGGACCATCTGCATAATTAGCACATTTTTGAATGAAGTACTTTTAATGTTATACTTCCATAACCGTCTGTAGCTTTTAGTATGACTCTGTTGTTGACATAAACTGTTATCAAAAACAGGTTATGGTTCAAAATGTATAACTTTGTTTTATATTATTTAATAGGTGGCTGATTTATATAGCAAACAACATTTCCTTATGTCATCATGGCAGGTCTACCATGACTCAGTGTCATGTAGCTCCATCTCTGCCAAGTAATTAGACATGGCTCTGCATTGTGAACGGTTCAGAATAATTACAAAAACGGTGCATGCCGACCCATTTAGCCTGTTTTGTAATTGCCCCCTTTAGTGTTATTTTGAGCAGCACTTGGTTAAAAGCAGGCAGCATGCAGCAGACAGCAGGCATGGTGAGCGATAGTTCCTGGTTAATGATGCCTCAAGATATTTCCCAGTCAAATGAAGGTGAGGTCGCTCTCCTTAGGTGAATTTACTCCACTGTTGTTTGTTAGGCACTCATCCACAGTGTGGAGCCACCCTTAAAGCATACACTGAGACGGAACAGATGGCAGCTCCTACCCGGAGATGCAGGGCACACTCAGTTGGTCAGATTATCAGCTATAATTAGGATAAAATCATTAAACTGCTTTTTATTTTTCCTTAAGCAGTCAATAAAGTAATATTAGTGTTCAGAGGAATACAGAGACGTCATTTTATTTTTTCTCTAACTGTTCAACCAACAAAATACCGGAAGTCACGTTTAACCCGAGAATCCAGCTATTTGTGCTTTCCCAAATAATGTTTTTGGATTCAGGTATATCCCTTCTTGTGTTATCATTTGTGTTTTGTATCCAGTACATTAGAAATATCATATGTCATTTATATGGGAAATCCCCTTAAATTCACAAGATTTATTCAGAAACCTAACACCGTATGGCAAATCATACTAAATGTTTCCATACTATATTGACCACAGGTGAATTTTAATCATTTTGAATGGAAGTGCAGATGTGACACTAGGGGACAAATTATTGTTTAAACTGAATCAGCCGAAAGTAGACTGTAGCATATATTCAAGATAGGGAAAATTACATTGTCTAAATGCATTTAAATATTGCTTCTTTTGACCACATATTCTTCAGAAAATACCTTTGTGTCTGGTCTTTATCTCTTTCCTCCTCATGTCCTTCTCTCAGTAAACAGAGACAAGCAAGCCCACTTTTTTTCCTCTTGATAAGGTGTTAGCAGAAGCAGGTGGAGGGCACTCTGCCACATGCTGAACCATCCTTCTGTTGCTGCCTGTCTCCATATTACAGCAGGTACACAGCATACCAATACACCAACACTGAGAGAAACAAGCACTCTGCAGCAATTTGGAGACAACAAATACGGCTCAAACACTTGTGAGAAGAGAGATCCAAGCCAAGATATCAGACAAAGATTGATTGTGAGGCAGCACAACAACTGACATCTTTGCTGGCTTCAGCTATATCTTTTTTGTTTTTTTCTCAGGATCTGTGATGAGAAAGTGTTCATTTCAAGCCCAGACTGCTTCTGCCATTATATGAAAAGAGATGATAAAGAAGTGTAATATGAATGCAAAAGCTGCAGAATGAAGAGGGTTTTTCATGTTAAAAAAAACACAGAGAATAGTTAACCATTATATATTTAATAAAGTACAAAACAACATGGGAATGAAAACTGTACAATAATTTATGGATCATTCATTCTTTTCCTTGAGTCAGCATTTTCAATATATCCAGGTTGAGCTGAAAAATGCTACATTGTGGAAACAGGGTTAAGTCTTTCTATGGGAATAAATAGATTGGAGCAAATATAATAATATGTATAAAGAATCTGCAGGATAATCCATGTACAATATTTACAATTAACCTTAATATATTTCAAACAAGAAAATGCATTCATTATAACACTCTCATTGGCGGGAATATTAAATTAGGAAGATATTATTGAAATGACAAATAAAACCTTAGTATTTTTAAATTAAACATATAAATAGTTTGGGTACCTTGGAGGTATCTCTGAAGATATTCAACTAACTTGCTTGGCTTAATATGACTTAAGTAATATTCAATTTTGAATAAAAAAACTGTTCAAACTTCAGTTATACTTTCACATAAAAAAGACATACATTTCAAGGCATACTTACACTTACATCTCACAATAATTTCAGCAAAAGTCATTTAACTTCTGTCCCAAACTCTGGACAGAAACAGTGCACGATCAAGTTGTCTATTGACACACAAGTCTCCTTCATCCCTTGTGCAAAACAACCTGCCACCAAAACCAGTGTTTCAGGCTTTGATAGCAGAGAATAGAGCTACACGATAAGTCTTCAAGTGAAATGAGTTTCGTATCAACTGCTGCTTATTCCAGCAAACTGTGACTGGGTGTTTCAGGAACGTGACTGATCATATCGTAGATGGTGGTGTGCATATCCTGAACGGACTCAAGGCGAGCCAGAGATCTGCACGAGGCCTGCAGGATGGTTGCATAGGGAAATGTTAAGTACACACAACCTTTGAACAAAAGTTAAGGCTTAAAAACGTGCTGCACACTGAAGCCATGTTGATGTTAAATTACCTGTGCAGACTCCATTTTCCCAGGTACAGAGACAAACTCGTAGATTCCAAAGTCTTCTGTTGCATCTTCATGTCCTGTTGAGACAAAGATTTTAATGTCAGACCACTGCATTAGCATCTATTTTAAGTCAAACATTACAGTAAAATTAGTATAATTGCACTATAAAACTGCTTTTCAGTTTAAATCAATGAGACATCGTGACCTTGTTTGCTTTACTGCTATAAATCGCAATGACTTTCATTTCAAAAGAAAAACTAAATACATTCTCATCCATTCACCTGAAACATATGATGTAAAATATGTACATATATGTAAACCTGACATAGGCTTACTCAAATTGTTGTTTCTTCTTATCATTGTTTTATTTGTATGTAAAAAAAAAATGGTTAGGGTTATTGTGATTGTTTTGGTTTTATGTATGCACCAAAAACACCAAGACAAATTCATTGTATGTGTTAACCTATAAACCTGTTTCTGATTCTGATAAACATGTGATAATAACAACCAAAAAAATACTATTTAAATTGTCTATATTCATTTTATATTCAAGACTCTTACCTGTTGTATATGCTCATGAGAACTGTTGATAATAGAGAGAAAGAGAGAAATAATTATTCACAAATAGAAAACATTTGAAATGTTTATAACCATAACTGCAGAGTTTAAGACTCACTATTAAAACAACCTTTGTCAATGCGGCAAACTAAGAAATGGTCCTACCTCTCTTAGGACGGCAGGTTCTCTTGAGGAAGAACAGCAGCATGCAGCTGATGATGAACAAAGAGCTAACGACGACGGCTGCAAAAGGGGGAAAATTGCTTCCTTCTTGGATATGCTTCTCTTTCCCTGTAGACAAATACAGGAAGAATAATTAGTTAGGTTAGTTGGACACACTCATGTTCCCCAGAAGTTGAGGTTGGTGTCACCGTGAGGTCTAATGGTTTGAAAAATATTGACTGTCAGATAGATTGATTCAACATTTGGTAGATAATATTCAAGACCTCTACCCGAGAAGATACATTTCAATAGTTGGAGATAACCTTTCTTCTAGTAGCCTACCATCTTAAGGTTACCATTCTGGATTTTCAACATCACCCTAGTCCTTTTTGTTTTGATATACAGGTACCTCCAAAAACTAAGATATTTCCATCCGCCTTAGCTGTACATTGCTAATTAGCTAATATTAGCATGCTATAGGCTAAATTGAGCCAAAAAGGCCATGTTCTTTGCTAGCATGGCTAGTCTTATTTAAAGTGAAGGGATCAGAGCTTCTTTGGTAATGTTCATAAAATATTTTGATGTCAATAAAAATGGATGCTTTTAGGACCTCTATTGACTCAATAATCATATTTTAGAATCATAGCCAGTATCAACATTAACCATTATGAGACCTTGCCAGTATCACCACGACAACATATCAATGTCGCATTCGGCACACAGAAACTACACATGCTATAAAAGTTAGTCAACAAATACAACAGCTGTTATCCACTGTTGACTTTCCCAGCCACTGAACTACAGGCTGCAAATGCTGAAACCTAGCAACAGAGATAAAAAGCCAGTTTCATTATATTTCATGCTATATCCATAACTTGGTTTCACTTCACCTGTTGTGCAAACACTGCTTCAACTAGCCTATAGTTTTTTATCCATTTACACGTTTCCCAAGCTGCTGTTTGTCATTGTCAACATATATCTGTCATAGCTAATAAACCTCTTCTGCTTTTGGCATGACACACTGTTTACAGAGCGTTTATCTCAAAGGATTCCCAAAATCCACCCACGCTCTGCTCTCTCCTGCCATGTTCCGCCCTCAACCCACCTGCTAGGTATTTGGCCACCACCAGAGTGAACTGGGTCTCGTCCTGCTTCTGCGTCACGTTGTTGAAGGCGCGGC